ATGGCGCTTTGGCTTACCTCTGAGAAAAAACCCATGAAAATATTAAAAATGCATTTCAGAATTAAAAATTTCAAACACCACTAGTTACTCAACCTACGAAATTGGAAGCACCGGGACAGACTACCAAACGTGTATGCTATTCATGATTCTCGATTTGTTCTACCAAAAATAATCAGAATCAAACTGTTCACAGCAATAATGTGAAAACCTCAACCTCAAATCCAGTTGATGAAGCTGAATTGTTGTGTAGCAAATTTAAATTAATTGCTATTAAGGCTTTTGTCTAAATAAATTTAGTTAGAAGTAGATTAGCAAGGCAGTTTGAAAACTTTCCTTACATTCAGTTCTTATTGTTAGTTTTCTAGTGTGTATTTTTTTTAATACCTGAACTGGAAGGGGGCTTAAATTACTTGGTCAGTGTTTCTCTAACGGATTTTCTTAGCAAGTTGTAAATAGGAGTTATAGTGTGAAAGAAGGTTACCTTGTTGCTATGCTTTCGTTTGATTAAAGTTTCAGTTTTGAAAATAAATTGCGCTTCGATGCTTCAAGGAGCCGCGGGCGGTTTGTTAGTGTCCGGGTGACAAAGAAATAAGTTTTGTTAAGTACAATTAAAAGGATAGGTTTGACTTTCCTTCTTTGTATTAAGATCTCTTTGATTTTGGAAGATAGCAAGGGTCGAATTTTGTTCTCACGAATATTGTGACTCATGAGGGTTTAGATGTTAGGCTATTGACAGCAGTTGTGTTTTCATTCGTTTCGGGGGGAAAAATGAAAAAAAAAAAAAAAATGGAGTAAATTTATCCTACCTTGGTTAGATGTTATATTTACTTTCAGCGTTAATTTTATGTTTGCTTTCAGACTTTGGATGGTCGTGGGAAACGAGATTTCGTTTCAGCTTGTGCGAGAGCGCAATTCAGATTTAGTTTGAGAGCCACTGTTTTAAGAACTAATACAAAAAAGAGAAAGCAACCTCGTCCATTGCTGGCTTGTCAGCACCAAGCAGGTTAAGCCATCAAACACTTCTGATGCATGGTCTGGTCAGTCCAGTTTCAAGATTGCCTCGGCAGAGCCTTTCTTCAGAAAAGTCTTATGCTTCATCTTCAGATTAAGCTTCTGAATGGCTTATATGTTTCTAAAATAAGATTCTTATGCGTCGTCGCAAAGGTTCTATTTGCTATTATTCTTGCAGCCAGAAAAGGAGCATCTAAACAGCTGCTGTTGAGTGCGTGCAGTATCGTGAATTCGTTGCCCCTCTTCCGAGTGCATTTCTTCCTATATAAATTTAGATCAATGGCGGAAAGGCTTGTGTTCCGAAATTCGTGACAAGTTGGACCTCCTTGTGTTCAGAAATAGAATGAAGCAGATTCAACGACAGTTGCAACTTTACGTGCGTTTCGGCTCTTAACAGGGAGATGAAACTGGACTGGACTACTCTCCCACCTTGAGTTGATTTTTAGTCCAAAGGGGCGGTAAAGACTAACAGCCCTGAAAGGCTATTAGTCTCGAAACAGCATTTTGCATTGAACCACTATAAACGGTTGTATCACTTTTCATATTGTTGCCACCAAATATTATCGCTCTGTATTATATTTAAAGAAATTAAATAATGAAGAATTCTGCATGAATGTATGTATGTTTTTCGCATTATGAAAAAGCAAAGATACCTAGAGCCATACAATTTTGAATAATTTATTCCTCCACCCGAATATGGGCACCTGGAAGCCTCAATCTTGAATTTCAAATTTGTTTCAATATCAATTTCATACTTTTTAAACTTTATCAAATTTTTGATTAAGAAACTCAATTATTTCAAAGCAAGCAGAGGCAATACACTGTACGGAATAAGGTATTTTTATTTCCAGCGTGTGAGACTGTCTTTGGTAAATTCTAAAAATATGCTGTTTTAAAATATTTTTATTTCAAAGAGTCCAGGTTTGATTTCTTGTGTCGTGGTATACTGGTTTCGTATGTCGCTATAAAAGCGCCAGTGAAATTGCGTTGCAGTATATGGTGACCGGAAAAATGCTCACAGAATAATGCTTACAGGTATAAAAGCTCACAGGAAAAAAGCCCACAAGAAAATATGTCCCACATAGAAAAAAGCTCACATGGAAAAATGCTCACTTAGAAATATGCTCACACAGAAAAAAGCTCACATGAAATATGTTCACATGCACAAATGCTCACATTAACCTTTTCAGCGGCGGTAAATAAAAGCATGAAAACTGTAGTAAAATTTTGCATGTACTGTAATATTTTATACCACTGCCCCTGTACGACATTTTTTCCTGTAACTGCCAATAATTAATTTTTGTTTCCCTACTCTATTTTTGATGTGTATCGATAGAAATTGATGTTTGAATGTAGTTATTGAAGTTTGGAGCCAAAAAAGTTGTAAAATTTCTGCAGAAATTAAAAAATTTAGAAATAAAATTAACATTTTTAGGCATTTTGATGATGCCTATCAGTTGAACGTTATGAAGCAGCCTTCGAAAAATCTAAGACTACAAATTGTTGCGAAGGCTCTCATAACGCACTAAATTCATTATTTAATTGTAGCCATTCCAGTATGTGGTTTTTATTTGACGGGCTGAAAAAAAGATTTAGCCTCTCTCAACGTTTGTTTATTAGCTAATGTAAATACAGGATGTACTGAAGTAAAAAGAAAGAAAACATGAAAACTTACATTTGGTAATCGTGAATCATGTAAGAAAATATGACAAAATCGATGATAAAATTAAATATTTTAAGTAATTTAAATAAAATAATCATTCTAAATTCTCATTCATTGTTCTTCTAAATGTTTATATTATAAAATGTGTAACTTATATTTATTACTAGGTGTACCCGCCCGGCGTTGCCCGTGCATTTAGAAAATGCAGATAAGTGAATAGCGCAGGAATAGTAGTGTAGGACATGTAGACTGTCTCTCTCTCTTCCCCCCCCCACAAGCTACAAAAAAGAAATGAATTGTAATTAATCGATTTAATGTATCGTCAAAACAGCAAACTAACGCTAGAATAAGAAATCAATTGTTACAATCGAACGTTATTTGAAAACAAATAATAAATCAGTGAGTCAAAAAAAAACCGTGATTAATAATTATAAATAATTTTTTAAAAATTTTTTAATTCAAAAATCGAAAATCGGGCTTCGAGGTCTGGTGGCCAGCCCCTTTGTGCTTCCGTAATAAAAAATTCCAGGTCCCTGCGTGCGATAGATTTGGCTGGAGAGCTCGGTCAGACAGACAGACAGACACATTACACTTGCTTTATTATTATAGATTATTTTATTTTTTAACAATTAAAATTGTAATAATTTTTCACTGTATAATTCTGTTTCATATTTACTTCCTTTCTTCTCTTCTTTTCTTAATTCAAAACGGCCCATTTGTTAATCTTGTGTAACAAACTGAATCTACACATAAATTATAAAATTTTTGAAATATATACCATAGATGTTATGGTAATTTAAATAATTTTTCTTTAGAAAATTCAAGTAGGTGAACGTTGTTCAAATCGATTAATTATTGATTTTTTAATGTAAGGATATTTCTATGTGAATTATTTATCAGTGGGCTTATTTCCATGTGAGCATACTTCTGTGTGAGCTTTTTCCCGTGTGAGTATATTTCTAAGTGAGCATTTTTCCATGTGAGCTTTTTTCTATGTGGGCATATTTCTGTGTGGACTTTTTTCCTGTGAGCATTTATACCTGTGAGCATTATTCTGTGAGCATTATTCCTATGAGCTTTTTTCCTGTGGGCTTTTTTCCTAGAACCGTAGTTTATTTATGTCCCAAGCATGAGCCACCGCAGTGGAAAGGTTAAAGATTCTTTTAATAAGTAATCATCCTGCGCATCACCGAAAGTTCAAAAAGTTGTTTAGTTAAAAAAATAATTTTAAGTATCACCAAAATAATTTAATCTCATATATCTTGAAAGTTATAGACATTTGAACCGTCGAGTCCCACTAATAATAAAAACAGTTTCGAGATATAAACAGTTGCATATTCTCGCTTTTTTCGCCACTCAAATCTTTCGAATCGCAGTCTAAAATCCTATTAAACACTTTAGCTCGAAATTTTGACAAAATTAATGTAGTAATAACTTCCTGTAGAAGCATTCATTAAAACAAGAATGTATTTGATGTAATTTTAGTGAACTTGAGTCACTAGTATCATTGCGCGCCGCTCTGAGTTTTACAGTTTGGATTTCTGAAAGAATTTAGCATTCCATATTTAGTATTTATGTGTATTCGGTTTTGAAATATTTTCAATCTCGACTTTAAACTTGCTTTAATTTAAAAAGAGGATGCAGAAAAAAAAAACTGATTTCTCATTTAAATATATTTAGTCACATTATTTTGAGAAAAGGAGCCTCACGACTTGAGAGTATTAATTATTTAGTTCTTTTACTGAGTTTGATTAATATCCCCTTAGCATATACTATAACAAAAAAATCTGTATCCTGAAATTTGTTTTTTTTTTTTTTTTATTATTATTATATGCTATTTCAAATTTTGCTTTAATCAAAATTTTAAATTGCAAACAAACGTTTTTTATTCTTTTTATAATAAAAGATTCAATTGATTCAAAAATCTTTAAGGATTTGGTTTTTGAATTTGAGAAAATCAAGCATTCGTGCACTTTCTAAAAAAAAAAAAAAAAAAAAAAAAAAATTATTCATGCCCTGCAATAAAAATGCATTTTACTTGCTCGGAAGACTTTACTGCTTCTGGTCTATTTCAAAAATGTATATTTTTGCCTTATTTTTACCCTTATTTTCACCTATATTTTCCGATCGACCCTCGGACCAAATATAACCTGCTTGACGTCATTACTCCGTGGATTCAAACTTCCGCGTCCCGCTTCGTTCCAAGACCTCCTACAACGGAAGGGAACAATCAGCTGCCTTCTGAGAGAACGGAAAGAGACATCCTGAAGGTCGGAAATATTAAGAAACATTTCATTTCCTCTCCGGTCAAAACAAACAATAGCTCCTCGGAGATAAAACAACTTCATACTTGTTGCTTGCTCATTGTCTTTATTTTTGTTTTCATTCTAGACATCTCGCTCTGTCGCTCTAGCAGCTCCTAACAGAGTTTTGAGTTGATCTGCATTCGTACAATCAGGGCCGTCGGAAGTGGGCCTGCCCAGCAGGCGGGCGCCGTCCAGAAAGGGGCGCCAGTAGACGATCCCTTGACAACAACCAACGACGGTAATTTTTATTAATAATTATATATTTATAAACAGATATTTGGGAAAGAACTAATCTAAAAAAGTATATAATGATATGAGTTGTATTTAATACAAATATAACTCTTAAACATCTTTACGACGAAATTAAAACTTATTACATATATTTTTAAGTACAAAGAGAATATGCAATTAAAACTTTTGAGCTTACAAAGTGCAAAGTTACATTGCACTGAGCTGGCGAATTTTGATCTACTTATTTTGAAAAACCGCGACACGCTACACCACCTTCATGTAATTTAACACAACGGCCTTGTATGAAATTCCTTGTGATTCAAATTCTGTTAATAAATTCATGGCTGATGGTGGTAAATCGCTATTAACAAAAATGTTTGCATTAAGGGAGTTGCAAGATTCTTAATTGAAAACCCATACCACCTACTCTCAAGAATCATTCAGCATTTGGTACTCTTCTACTATCGGGACAGGATTCATAAATGTATGATATCTGCACGTGTGAATGTATGTTTGTGCGTTATATGTGTATGTTACATACGACCGTACTTAAATACGTGCATACATGAACACACACATGCATACATACGTACATTTCTGAAGAAATTCGTAAGTGAATCCGGTTCAGATAATAGAAGAGTACCCAATTTTTGAGGTCTCTAAAATTAAAACCACTTTTAAATCAACTGCTATTCTTCGAACTCAATAAAAAAGGATTCTATTTTTACCTATGTTTACCTATGCTGAGTTTTGTGCCCTCCATAATTTTCACGAAACTGGCACTGTTGTTTGCCCTGCTGTTTCCATTTTAAGAATTTTGTATTCATGTCTTAAACCAAATGTTTAATAGCTAGATTTCCTTATTCAAGATTTACAAAATGTTATTTTTAAGAATTAAACTTTTTAAACTGAATAAGAATTGTGAGATTTTGCTAAAATTAATGATTTTGGTTTTTAAAGTGTAACATTATTAGAACATTAGATTTTTATAAAAGTACTTTTTATAAACATCAACATACTTTTATATTTAAATTTTAGTGTGAAACAAATTAATGAAGCAAAAAACGAAGTTGTTCGATTTTGAGAATCTGAAATATAAAGCCGAAAATGCAGCTGGCACAAAAAAACAATCAGGTGTGCTTAATAAGTTTATAAGGTATTTTTTCCTTCCTTTCTGCATATCTTCATGGTGTGACGGTAGCACACTCGGCGCGTATCCGAGAGGTCCAGATTCGAGTCCCAGCAAGGGCATTCCTCATTTTTCGTGTTTCCTACTTCGAAAATCCTAAGGACTCTACAAGAGCCCTGACTATATCTAATTTGAATTGCAGTTCAATTATAAAGCTTCGCCAGGGGCGATTACTGAAGATGAGATGTCTGAATCATGCTAATCAACGAAATTAAATGACAACATTACTACTGATAAGATTCATTCAGAATTAGTAAATTATTCACGACCTGAGGAAATGTTAGATGATTGGGAGTCATTAGTGATTTTAGATTTAGAAGGCTCAGCAAAATGGCCAAATACTGGTAACAAATTACGAATGTTATTAGAAATATTAGAAACGAAACTTGTTCGAAAGCAAAGATATAGTAGTACTTTTTTAATAAGATATAGTGACAGGAAAAACTTTACGCAGGCACATATTAGATCGACACATTTGAAAATTCTCAAAATTGAATGAATTAACGAAAAGTCTAAATATAAGATATATGGTGGCTAAGATAAATTATTCAGAGAAACGAGCTTCTCCTTTATCTACCCGACCGAGCGGTAAAGTCGCTGAACACTGGTAGTTCGGTCCGAGGTTCGAATCCCGCGAACGGGCTGGCTGCATGGGCGTTTTCGTGGTTTTCCCCATGTGTAACGTGTATACGAGCCAGTTTCCCTTAGAAAGTCTTCCACGAAGGCATCCCTCTTCTTAGGCAGATAGCCCTAGTGTGCTTTGCCATAATTAAGTAAACCAAACCAAACCAAACCTTCTTCTACCACTGAAGGATTCCTAGCAGAAATATGTTTGACTGGAACCGATGCGCCGGATAACTACAAGGGACATTTTACAATCGAAATGAAAATGTTTCATTCAAAGCTGTGTCCCTCGTAGCTTTTTTCCAAAGAACTGGTTTTTGCGTAAGTCAACCAATCAGATAGTTCGAAAAGGAAAAATTGCGAAAATATTTCTTTTGATGTGTTGTTGAAGATAAGTAGTGATTGTCATATTGGTTTTGCTAAACCAGATAACCCCCTGCTAACTATCTGCGAAATCAAGCTGAAACTTTCCCTTTCTACTCGCTAACAATGGTAATATGTTAAAAGTAATGGAGCGTTCAACACGAAGACTTTGCGAATGGCATAAGTGATAGCAATATAAACCGAACTTCGTTGGCGATAACTTTCAAGCTATAGCAAACAACACAGACAGCAGTTGCAGCAACATGAAGAATTTGAGACCTAGGGAGGAGTAGTGGATAACAATAAGAACAGAGGAGATTCGAGATACAGGGGGAAAAAGTGATGATAGCGTATTATGTATTGTAATGTTAATATTACTATGCATTCTTACTTGAACGAAAGTTTCTCTTGCATAAATAATATTGTGATTGTTTCTGGTAGTTTGCCTAAGAATGCGTTAAATTTATTATGTTTATACTGTAACTGCATCCTTCAAAAATTAAATTATTTGCGTAATTTTCCCCTCTCAATTTTCATACGATAAAATTAGTAAAAATGGGTAGAAATATGTGAGTAAATACGGTATTTCATATCTTAAGCTATTCAATAATAATCTTAGATTTCACACCAAATGGAAGTAGTGCAGAACAAATAACAATTATTATACAATAAAACAAATAGCAATTATTTTGTTGTTTGAAAAGATAGTGGAATTGAAACCGCAGAACTCTTCTGGGTGTTTTGGGAAGCAAATGACAGGTCGTTGTCAGTATAAAACGGTGACTGAATGTTTAGAGAAATGTAGCACTAGAAAATGAGAGGTCAGAGTAATAGTAGCAAAACAGCAAACATGAAAGGGAAAAGAAATGTACTTCAAATTTTGTCTTTAATAATAAATCCTAGGAGGTGTTATGTTGTATGTGTTTCTTGTATACTCAGTTAATATTGTCACAGGAAAAAGCCATAGTAGACATATTCATTCAGTTCATTTTGCAGTTGTTTACAATTTAATATTTTTAACTCTTCTTCATCAAAGCTTTAGTCAATTCTTTTATGAAATATAATCAATTTAGCATTGAAGCCGCTACTAAATACCCTGTAGTAAAATAAAGTGGAAGCGATTTGTTCTCTAGGGTAGCAGCTAGGAGAAATTTACGATGCTGTTTAAAAATTATGAACAGTGACAATGATGAAAATTATTTTCTAGGGTCCAAATTTAGAACAGTATTTGCTAAGGTCCTCGTGCAGAAGTAAACCAGGGATAGACCATGGCCCGACAAATATCGCATTAGGAAATCTCGTGTACTTTTGGTTTTGTTTGTCCACGTTTGGAAAGAACTCGTGGGTGCGATGGTATGTTATCGCTTCGTCCCACCCTTGTTGCCAGATATTTTATGTCCTCATATCTAGTATATTCTTTAGGTGAATCTTGGTAAACGGAACATCAAGGAATTCTCCTGTTTGCTTCTGTGTTACCTCCTTTACAAATATCCCATCTGCAGCGTTGTTACCTCCGCCTCCACTGTGGCCTTTTATCCTCATGATTGTAATTTTTGTACTTTGCATGTTTTATTAATATTGGTTAATTTCGAGCGCAATTTGGAGTTGACTGGGTTACAAAGTGTTAACACTGCCGCTGGCTTTCTGACTTAATTATGATATGGAGGGATTATTTGGTCATTTGCTATTTTCCATGATACTTTTATTGTCAAAAGTTCTACCTGATGAATGCTGTTATTGTTTTTTAAGTATCCTTGCTATTTTATACAATTGTTGAGGTTCTTTAGCATAAGAATATAGACTGCACACTAACTCTTCTACATATTTTGCGGCCGTTCGTGAATGCTGCAGTTTTGTTGTTGATGGACTCTGCTGTTTCTTGCTGAAATTTTATCCTTGTACGCGGTACAGCAGGATATCTGTTACAGGGAGGGGGAGGCCATTCATATTCTTCAGTTTTATAAAGATGGTCATTAATGAAAATGTTCTGTTTTAACTGCATGACTGTTGTATAAATATCTTCATCTGTTGCTTGTAGGTGTAAAGGGGTTGTTTTGGCTAGGATGTTGAGAGCAACACTTGAAGTTGTATGAAATCCACGTGTTATTTATATAAAGTAAACTATCTCTGATTTGAGGTTAGAATTCTCTTTTTGCGTTCAGTCGTAGATATGGATTTCTCATTCAGAAAGCTCTTTGTAAAGTCGAAGTTTGCACAGAATATCGTACCATGCCTCGAATAATAATAAGAAGAAATGCTTATCAACAAGTGTCGGAATTCCACAGAGGCAGGATCATTTCCTACAGAGAGTGTGGATTATCGTTCCGTGATATCGTCCGTCGCACTGATCTACACCCAATCACTGTCACGCGAATATGGAATCAATGGGTTGCATGAGGGTCATACTGAACGGATATGTAGGATCTCAACGCCCGAGAAAACAGACATATTGTGATGCCAGCCCTGCAAAACCGTACAACCACATCACTGACCATTAGTCTGGAAATGGGTATGTTTGTAGCACGCCCAGTATCCGCTCGTACGGTGCGTCGAGGTTTGCAGCAGCGCGGACTATCAGCACGGCGGCCATTACTTCGGATTCCCTTGACAATGCAGCATAGAGACAAACAGCGACTCTGGTGCTCCGAACAACAAAGCTGGATACAGTAGTGTCACAATGTCGTCTTTTCAGACGAGTCCGGGCTCTGCAGTAGGACGCAGATCGGTACATTTCTGACATCTTACGGTGAGTGGTTGTACCTTATCTTTGAGGCCTGCCAAACGCCATCTTCCAACAAGATAATGCAAGACCACACGTTGCAAGTCGTGTT